ATGAGCCTCTGCATCTAGATCGCTGTTGGTTTTGTACTCTCCTTATGGCAAATGTCACGTGTAAGTAAAGCACATGCCCGAGTCCTGTGCGTGCATACACCTCTCTGTGTGTGCATCCTGGATACAGGCTTATGGAGGCCAGAGGTCAACGCTACCTGTCTTCCTCTACCACACTCCACCTCATGTTTTTGAGACCAGGTCTCTCTCTGATCCCAGAGCTCACCGAATGGCTACACTGGCAGGCCAATGAGCTCTGGGGACCCACTTGTCTCCCCTGCACCCCAGAGCTAGGATTACAGACACATCCTACCACACCCCATTTTTTTAGTGCGGGTTCTGAGAATCCAAACGCAGGTCCTCATGTTCGTGAAAGGGACCAACTGAACCAACTCCCCAGTCCCCTGGCTCCCACCTCCTGAGACAAGGTCTCACATAGTAGCCCAGCCTGGCCCCAAACTCTCCACGCTGATATGGTTGACCTTGAGACCCTGATCTTCCTGCCTTTATTTCTTAAATGCTGGGATGATACCTATGTATTATACCCTAGTATAAGTGATGCTGAAGATCAAACCTAGGGTCTCATGCACACAAGGTAAGTATTCCACTAGCTGAACTTCATCCCTAGTACCCGTTTTGTTGGGCTCTGGGAGCTTGACTGCACCAAGGGAATGAGTCAATGGTTAGAAAAGCTTAACCACCGAGGACTTGAGGTGGGGATGTGAAGTGGAGTGGTCTTCTGAGACTAGGATCTCAAGGGAACCAAAGGATGCCTGCCTGGCATTTGCTGCAGTGTTGGTGGATGGGGCACAAGGCCTACGCATTTGGACACAAGGTGTACTGCGTTAGGAGTCCAGGTGGAGATTAACTAGCTGCTCGTTCTGGGCAAGGGAAGGATGACGCAATGGTGAGGGCTGTATACTGACACCACTCCACACAGGCAGGGTGGGCTGGAGAGCCTGAAGGGCAAGCAGGTAGGAAGGAGGGAGACCCCAGCAGCAGCTTCTGAGTCAGGAAGGATGAAGACTCCAGCCTCCAGATAAATCCCAGACTCTCTGGCGCAGCGTTCTGACGCTTGCCTCTCCCTAGCCCTGCTTATCAGCTTCGGTCTGTGTTGCGCGCCGCGCGCCGATAAGCAACTGCTTGTGCCCTTCAAGCTGCTGCCTGTTCTGTCTGTCCTTGGCAAAGCCCGCTACGTGCCCTTCCACTCCTCCCTACTGGAAACACCCACCCTTTCAAGGAGCTCAGTCATATCGTCCCCTCTGGATGCTCTCTTATCCCTTTCCTTCCTGGAAGCCAGAAAGCAAGGCATAGGCCCTTCCTACTAGACTCCCCGCCAGCAGAGTCCACAGTGGTGTGTGACTCCTTCACAGTGCCCTTCTCCTAGAAATACCTGATAAACCAAACTAGGCCTTCGGAGCCTGAAGAAGAAAGCCAACTTCCTGACATCAGCTCAGTGACGTGCCAACACACACAGTATCAACAGAACAGGTTTAGTTCTGATTCCTCAAGAGCAAGAGATTCAAGGGTGACAAACAATGTGGGTTTTATCCCTGAGATCGACCCTTTGAGCAGGGGTGTGACACCTGCTGCCTCTAGTCTCGAGGACGGGATGACAATGGTGACCATCAAGCAGCAGGAGTGTGACTCACAGCCCTCTCTCCTCAACTACTGTTCCACAGCTGCTGAAACGAACCCCACACTTATTCCGTTGCTTAGCCGACTTCCCTAACGCCTCACCTACGGTGTCTGCCCCACACCCACTCTTCTGACAGGAAAGGCTGCTGGCTCCTGAGCTCCTGCTGCGTTAAAGCCTACAAAAGAACCTGGGTTTCTCCCCTCCTTCCTGCCAGCCCTCCAAGGAAGCACCGGGAAGGGCATGATGTCCGCTGTGGATCCAGCAAATGCAGACTGTATGCATTCATAGTAAAAACTTGTTAAAAATTAAGCGTATGTGTGATTCTACCTGCCACCCATGAGGAAAGCGCTAGAGCATTGAGTTCTTGGTAGCTTGAGGTGAGAGTCCAGAACCAAGCCTATGGTCACCTAGAACACATGACTCATTCTAGTCAGCGGGCTGGCTGAGGTACCTTTGGTACATTAGCCAGCACTGCTTTCCTTGGCAAGTTTCTCTCTCTCTCTCTCTCTCTCTCTCTCTCTCTCTATCTCTCTCTCTCTCTCTGTGTGTGTGTGTGTGTGTGTGTGTGTGTGTGTGAGTGTGTTTTGAGACAGGGTTTCTCTATGTAGCCCTTGCTGTCTCCGAACTCTCTTTGTAAACCAAGCTGGCTTCGAATTCTTAAAGATCCACCTGCCTCTGCCTCCTAAGTGTTGAGATTAAAGGCATGTGCCACTCCATCTAGGAAGTTTTCCTTGACAAATTCAAAGGTATTTAGGATACAGGTTATAATATTTTAAACAAAACCCATGTGTGGTGGTGTTCACCCGGAGTCCCAGCACTCTGGAGATAAAAGATCTCAAATTCAGGGCCAGCTGGGTGACATAATGACCCCGTCAAACAAAACACAATAAAAAGGGACTTAGCTACTTGTAACAATCCATTCTGAGGCAGAGGATAGTGACCTTAGCCAGCATCCAGACCAATATGTTTCCAAATGTGGGTACTTTTGAAAAATAGTAAATTTTTATTCTGGTAACTTAGAAATGCAAAAAAAACCCTAGCATATTGAAAGATACTATATAATGCTTTATTTTTTATTTTATGCATAATGAGTGTTTTGCCTGTATGTATATGTACATACTACGTGCATGCCTTGTGCTGTCAGAGGCCAGAAAAGGGCATCAGATCCCCTGGGATGAGGGTTACAAATGGCTGTGAACTGTCATATGGGTGCTGGGAATTGAACCCAGGACCTCAGGAAGAGCAGCCAGTGCTCTCAACTACCGAGCCACCTCTCCAGCCCTTTATATAGCATTTTAAACTTGAAATGGCTTCATAGTGACTAGGATTTTTCTGTTTTGGAAGACAATGCTCTTAAAAGAATAATCCACACAAGAAAAGCATTCCATCCTCAATGGGGACAGAGGAAGAGACTGTTCTACAAGCGGTGTGAATTCATAGAGGACCCAACAGACCCTGCACCTGTACACCAGGCCACCTGTATCATGGCAGCATCAACACAGACAGGGCTGGAAGAGTAAAGTACTAACAAACCCAGATGTCCCGGGCCTTTCTCTCTCATCCCAGCACACCTGGTGGCTCATGCTCCTGGGACACTGGTACCCAAACTTGGCACATAGTTTAAGATCAAGCTTGTGCCATGGAGTCTCTTGACCAATCAATACCACAGGGGACAGGTGAATCTCAACCTTTATCATAAGATACGCGTGCAAGTGTGTGTGTGTATATACTGACAAACACGCTGTGTTTGTGTGTGTTACTATATCATCATTTCTCTCCTACATTATTTCACTTCCTTTAAATGATGGTTTGGGGGATGGAGAGATGGCTCAACAGTTGTCTTTGCTTTGCAATTATGAAAACCCAAGTTAGGATCCCTGAACAAATATGTAGCAATCAAAGTGTCCTGCAAACACCTGTAATTCTAGCACCAAGGATCCAGATGACTTCTTCTATTCCACATACACACACACGCATACACATACTCACACACATGCGTGCACACACACACAGATTCATGCACACAAAGTAAATCCTTAAAAATATAAATGTTGGGGGGCTGGAGAGATGGCTCAGAGGCTAAGAGCATTGCCTGCTCTTCCAAAGGTCCTGAGTTCAATTCCCAGCAACCATATGGTGGCTCACAACCATCTGTAATGAGGTCTGGTGCCCTCTTCTGGCCTGTAGGCATACATAGAAGGAATGCTGTATACATAATAAATAAATATTTTAAAAAACATATATATATAAATATATATATATATATATATATATATATATATATATAAATGTTGAGTTTTATACTCTACAAGACTGATCTCCTAACCCATTCATGGGTCTTAAATCACAGTTGCAAACAGAGTGATACACACATTCTCCTATTATGGAACATGGAGGTGTTCTGTGGTTTTGTGGGGGGCAGTGTTACTGAGGACTGAACTCATGGCCTCATGCATGCTAGGCAAGCATCCCATCCCTAAGCTACATCCCTCAGACCTTGTTTTTATTATTTGTTTCTTATTAAGAGAGTGTTTGCTATACAAGTTAGGCTGGCCTTCAACTCATTAGGCAGCCCAGGATGGTCTCAAACTTGCAATCCTTTCAGCTCAGCCTCAAAGAAGGGATTACAGACATCTGCAATCACACTGCAAAGAAGGGATTACAGACATATGCAATCACACTCCAATGACACAGATGACTTAGATCTCGCAATTTGGAATAATAAAATTTTAATCCCATGTTTTAGTGTGTGTCTGTGTGCTTGTATGTACATTCACATGTCACAGCACACATGCACAAGTCAGAACAACTTTTGAATCAGTCCTCCCTTCCATCATGTGGGTCCTGGGGATTGAATTTAGGTTATGAAGCTTAGTGGCAGGCACCTTTCCCCAGTGAGCCAAATCACAGGCCTACGGGATTTAAATTTCTAAGAGAGAGGAAATTTCAGTATGTGGTTTTTTGTTTTGTTTGTGTTTTAATTCTCTTCTCTGGCATATACATGTGAAAGAACTGAAAATCCTGAAGGAGCAAGAGAGATGAGTTTGTTAGGGAGTTCAAGGTGCCCCTGGAGCCTAGCCAACCTGTCCGGAGGCAGACGGAGACTTTGGTATCGATGTGGAAATGCAATCTAATTTCCCTTTGGCTGGAAGAAATAATTATGAGACTCTGTGGCTAGGAAGAACCTTAATGTCAGATTCCATTTCCTCCCATCAGATGATCAAAGTCAAACACTGCTTCCTTTAGGAATCATGGGACTAATTCTAGTCCTTCCGAAACAATTAACCACAATCACAAGTACAGTGCAAAACGAGCCACTGAGATGGTCAACTTCCTGTTCCTTCTCAAGTATAAATAATACCTGTTTATAGATAAAAACAAGATGTATAGCTTTATTAGTCAAGGGAAAGCAGATAGAGGAGAAACTTAAAAATATATACACTTTAAGACTCCTTAAGGGGCTGGCAATGAAACTCAGGTACGGCTACTCACTAATAATATGCAAGCCCCAAGTTCAGGAAAAAAAGTCTTTAAGTACAACATATCTTACACTTTAGTACTGTATCTTATAAGGCCTCTGCTCATTGACTCATCAAAGGTACCAGCTTCTGAAGTCACAGATGTCATGGGCTCACTTGTCGATGACACTAACATTCAGCGTCCTCTGGCTCAGGAGACTGTCTTTTGTCGCTGATTTGATGTTATCCTGGCATCTGGAGAGCCCATTCCTGGCTCAAGGGCACCTCAAAGGCTGGCGCTCTGGAAAAAGGTGCTGCTCCCCATGAAAACATCCACAGACAGTGCAGGAGGGCCAGCTCTGTGCTCTCCCTCCCTTCGTCCAGCACCATCCGGCCCCCGGCAGCCAAAGAGAAGGGAAGGCAAAGGCTCCTGAGTCTGTGAGGGGACTGTGCTCCTGAATAACCCGGGTTCTGGAACTTTCCACCACCACCAGCAGAAAGCCAAGACTTCTAGTCTTGGGTCACCATCTTCCTCTATTTCTTAACAGAATTCTTGTGTCTCCAGCATTTACAGAGTCCTCTGAGATTTCGGACAGTCCCACCCTCTCATGTTCAGAAGGTGCTCTCCAGCAGGCAGTGGCAGCCACACCCAGTGGGACAGACCTCTTGGGTCCGAAACCATTCCATCATGTGGCTTGTATGGCCACCATGCCCACAGGTCAGGCAGAAGTTGGATGACCCCCGCACAGCCACGTGGCAGATGGCACACTGGAACGTGAAACCTTTGCAGATGGCACACTGCGTGCCACGGACCTCGCTCCGGCAGTGACTGCAGTACACACCGAACTCTGCAAATGGGGGAGATGGGCAAAGCAAGAGACAGTGTTAGTTTGGTTCCGGTAAAAGAAGACTGGGCATTGGTGAGTGGGTACCTACTCCCCCAGGATGCTGGCAGGTTCCGGCAGACCAGTGAGGGTTTATTTTTTGTTTTTGTTTTGTTTTTGTTTTTTTTTGAGGTAGGGCCTTGTGTGTCCCAGGCTGACCTGAACAGACTATGGAGCTGAGGATGATCTTGAACTCCTTATTTTACTGAGTTCTGCGATTACAAGTATAAACCACCATGCCCAGTTTTATATGGTGTTAGAGAACCACTCGAACCTGGGGTTTATTGCACGATGGGCAAACACTCTGAGTTACGACCCAGCTCTGCTTTTCTGTTTATTTCCATGTACGAATGTGTAGTGCACGTGTGAGTTTGAATATATGTGTGAGCGCAGGCATATGTGTCCTTGTTTATGTCAGGGCCGATGTCAGGTGTCTATCTTTCTTCACCCCATTTTTTCAAAACAGTGGCTAGACTGGCTGGCCAGCAAGAGGGGATCCCCAATTTCCTCAGCCCCAGTATTGAGGTTGCAGACGTGTGTCTCACACTGGATTTTTACTTGGGTGTTTGGGACACAAGCTTGCTTATGTGGCAGGTATTTTACTGACTAGGATATCTCTTTAGCCCCTCCCTCCCTTCCTTCATTTTCTCCCCCCAGACAAGGTTTCTCTGTGTTGCTGTGGCTGTCCTGAAATTTGCTTTGTAGACCAGGCTGGCCTGCTTCTGCCTCTTGAGAGTTAGATTAAAGGTGTGTGTCACCAAGTCCGGAAAGCCAATTTTCTTTTCTAAATGATAGAACTCCCACCATCTAGATAGTTCTCCTAACTAGGAGCTGTCTTTACTACTAGGATGAGGGCAGGGGGCATAGGCAGCACTCGGCTCTGAGGTCCTGTGGGAAACCCAGTGCTCTGCAGCAGAGGATTGCTGTACCTGCTGCCTCTTACTACTCCTGGGTGTAGAGAGAAGGGAATGACTCGAAAAACACTGAGGAGACAGCCGGTGGCTTTTACCACCAGTGGTTATCCTACTGGCTGAGCAGTAAGCTGGCCATATCAGAACCCCACGGCACTGTCCCACCTCTGTGCCAGGGCAGGGTTTCTACCTCCTGAAGAGCCTGTGATGTGCTCCAGTTTCTACTTGGTATACCAGCCTGTATGTCCCTGGGTTGTTCCTGCTACTCTGGGGCCATTGCAGACTGCACACCTTTCTGTGTGCCCTGTCTATTCTCAGAGCCACACCCTCATGCTTAACACTGTCCAAATTCTGGCTGTCTACATTGGCCTTGAGTGAAACACCATTTCTTAAGTCTTATGGTAAGAGGAAAGGTGGGCACCATGTCCCATTATTGCCTCAGACTGCTATTCGATGAGGTGAGGCCGTTTGGCTTTGCCTACCTTTCCCTTTTCCTCTGCATCTCCATCTATCAACTTTCTACAGACACACACACACACACACACACACACACACACACACACACACACACACATGCACACGGAAGACTTCTGGTCTTTCTATAGACGCACACACACATGGACATGGTAGACTTCTAGTCTTGGGTCGCCATCTTCCTCTATTTCTTAACAGAATTCTTGTGTCTCCAAAAATCCACCTCCTGGATTCCCGACCAGCTGTCCTTTCAGCTCTCTTTAGTTCACACCTCCGCCTCCTCGATATACCTGCCTTTTCTGGTTTCAGGGTCTTCTTCGGCCAGCCTGGAGTGCCTGCACTAATTCCATGTTCCTGCTTTTACAAACATACACAGATCCTTTTCCCCACCGGGGCCAACTGAAACCCTGACTTAGCCACATCACCTGCCCACTGCACATCTGCGCCGGGGAGCAAAGCCACCCGAAGGTCCCCCACTGAAGGTCCCCCACTGAAGGTCCCCCACTGAAAAGCGTGTTTCACTTTACATGCACGGGTAGAGAAGAGCCCAGGCACGGTAGGACCTGCTGCTCCTGCCTTCCTCACACTGCTCCCTTGGCTCACTGCCACACTGCAAATTTCTCCCACACGTCTTGGCTGTTGTCTATTGCCTGCTGTTCTCTCCTCTAACTTTGCTGAGCAAACAGAAGCCTTTAAACGGGGGTTGCGGGACCCCTTCATCTGCACTACCACTTCTTCAAATTTCTGGAGGCTGGTGGCTCCTCTCCTTCCTTCTGACAGTACGAACAATCGGACCTGGAGAGGATGGCTCAGCAGTGTAGAACATTTGTGTTTACTAAGGACCTGGGTTTAGTCCCCAGCACCCACATGGTTGCTAAAACTACAAACATACATTCAGCCCAAACACTCATGAACATAAGACAAAAAAATCTTTATCAAATTAAAACTATAGTTGGGTGGTGGTGGCGCACGCCTTTTAAGCCCAGCACTCGAGAGGCAGAGGCTGGTGGATCTTTGCGAGTTCAAGGCCAGCCTGGTCTACAGAACAAGTTCCAAGACAGGCTCCAAAGCTACAGAGAAACCCTGTCTTGAAAAAAAAAATAAATATATAAGAAAATCTTATTTCCTTCCTCCATCATATCCTTCATCTTAAGTTATACTTAAATAAATTAAAATAAAACATGCTTTAATGGCCTCTTATTACATTTAGCCTTCTAGAATTCAGAAGGAGAAAAGGATCCAATAATAGTTCTTATTACGAATTCTAAAATGCACATCGCAGGGAACCATTAAGGACAAGAAGACCATAGCAGTCATATACAGAGTGAACACATAGATAAAACTACCCTAAATAATGGTCATGTGTCATGCGAATTGTCTCCTACTGTCTTAAAATAGCTTTGGTTTTCTTATTACATTTATTTGTTTTGAGTATATGTGCATGGGTGTGCACACGCCACAGCATGGGCATAAAGGTCAGAGGACAACTTGGGGTTGGGTTCTTGTAGGTCCAGAGAGGGACTAGGACTCAGGTTTTCAAGCTTGGTGGCAAGCAACTTTACACACTAAACCATCTTGTCAGCTCCTGCCTTTGCCTTTTTAATTAAAAAAAAAAAGTGTTTACTTAGAGGAGAGCTGGAGAGACAGCTCAGTGGCTAAGAGTACTTGTTGCTCTTCCAGAGGACCTGCCTTTGGTTCTGCACAGCACATGGAGGCTCACAACCACCTGTACCTCCAGTCTCAAGGGTCTGATGCCCCCTTCTAGTCTCCAACACGTGGTTTACGTAAACTCAAGCAGGCATATACACATAATTTTTTAATCTTAAAAAAGAACCAGAATTTAAAAATATAATTAGGTAAGAATAAGTAATTTTTTTTAATTTAAACAAACTTACGTGGGCAGATCTGAACCTTTAAGGAATTATCCCTAAGGAAGCAAACTCATCCTAGACCGAGTGCCTCCCCTCCTTTCCTGGCGCATCTGTCCCTGCTCTGAACTGACACTGACCCTGCTACAGAACACAGGCTGGCAGCAGACTCCTCAGCCCCGCAGACGCCAGGGCACTACAGTACAGGTACGGGCACCACATGTGGCTGAGTTGGTGGATCCTGTGTGGTGTCTGCAGATCTGGTGACTCTTACAGACAGAATAGAAAGGCAACTGTTGTCTTCAATGTTTGCTATGCCCTGGACCTGGGCAGCTAGCTCCTCCAAACTCAGATGAACTGACTCCTGTGTATATTTGCAATCACGGCTTCCATTGATGCTTCTGCCTGTGAGTTTCCTTCATAAGCCTCCTGCTCCCTTTCTACAATCCTGTGACATTGTCTTTATTGGTACTAGGATATGCGCTAATTCTGCTTTTGTTTATTAGGGTTTTTATTTTGTTTTTGACGTTTTGAGACAGGGTCTCCTGTAGACCAATGTGCTGTCAAACTGACGTGGAGCTGAGGCTGGCCTTGAGCTCCTGATCCTTCTGCCTCTACCTCCCAAGTTCTAGGATTACGGGTGTGCATCCCCACACTGTCAATACTAAGTTGTGACTATCACTTATCTGCCTTCTATTCCAGGCCCTCTGAACTGCACACGCGCACACACACCACCCACATCTATTTCCCTGTGTCGCCTGCACAGTCTTGCACGGTGCTTCCAAGCAGGAGATGCTAACAAGGGTTTGGCTGACTGACGGTTGACATCAGTTCTATATCTCCATGATGCAGATGTTTTCCTGAGAACTAATTTTAAAAGACAAATTATTCTAGGCTATCATAAATCTCTTCCTGATACTCTCTCCTGTATTTAGATGCTCTGAAAAAAATAATACATTGTCAAAATAGAATTCTGTATCTGTATTTCTTTAAGCATGTACACCTTGGTATACCTTACTAAAATAACTTTGCTATTTATTGTCTATACTTACAAACGTTTCTCTGGTTTGTTTTCTCAAGTGGAAACTAGAGACACATGCAACATACAGAGTCAAACAATTTTATGCATTTCATCAAAGCCCAAGCATTCCCTGCCACTCCCTAGAGGAAATCTCGCCTACTCACCCCATCATTTCCTTTATCGTCTTGCGGCTGAAGGCTGCTTTATAAAGCAACCCCATACTCATTGCAAATGAATCTGTGTTTTGTAAGGACACTCATGTAAATATAGGATGTTCTCTGAGCCTATTCCACCTCTTTTCCCTCCCCTCCCTTTTCCTCCCAATCCCTCTCCTTCCTCTCTTAGGCTGTCATGTCATATACATACATGATTTTAAATACATTAAGATCTAAAACCCACAAGTCAGAGACAGCGTGTGACACTTGTTTTTTGAGATGGAATTAGTTCACTTAAAAGGATAATCTCCAGTTGCATCATTTTCCTGCAAATGATACAATTTCATTCCTGATGGACAAATACAATTCCATTGTGTACATACACCACATTTCCTTTATTGATTCCTCTGTTGATGGAGACCTAGGCTGGGTAAATAACTTAACTATTATAAATCATGCTGCAATAAACACTGATGCTCAAGCATCTCCATGCAATATTGACTAGAACTAGGAAATACAGTCAAGTGTGATGGCA